TGTAAATGTGTTAACAGCGGCTAGAATTGTATTTGCTAAAACTGGAAAAATGAGAAAACACCAACGTAGGAGGAAGTTATTCATAAAATAATGGAATATGCTGAAATGAGTAAATTGACATTTGAAATTAGAGAACAAGAAGATAAACAATTTTATAAGATATGGGATTTATTTTACCAATGGTTAGACCCCAAAAAATGGTATTGAAATACGACTGAGAATCTTACAATATCCTTGTATTGAATGACACAGAATATAACATAAAGATGTACTATTTTTGGATGGATTTAGGAGGACTAAATTGTCAAAACCTATCCAGAAATCATTAGCGTTTTTTGGACAATGGTTTCAAACCAAAAATTCTCAGTCAACCAATGTTTGCTTGCCAAGCAATATCTGAATGTTTTACAATATTCTGGTTTCTCTTCAGATCATATACAAATTTCAGCTCTACAACCATTGTGGCTGATGTCTAAACACACGCCACTTTCCTCTCTTCACAAAAATAATGGAGAATTAAATGTTAATGTTTCCCCATATTTTAGGATGAGCACTTCTGTTGACTTCAGAACTCCTAATGCTAGCAATGCCATAACTTTTCCATTTGTGGTCCTTTACCTAAATACAGTATGTCCACAGGCTGCTCTGATGGACTCTCTGAAGGTAAATTTAAAAACTCCTCCAGTGAGAGCACAGGCTGTTCCTTCAAATAATTTTTGAGGTGGCATTTGCTGCCATGAACTAGTATTTTTCTGCCCCCTGGATACAACAGTGCTGGCAAAAGAAGATACCAAAGCATCAACACCACTCCTGGATTGTGTAGTCATGTGATCAACTTGCATGTGTACCAGGACTGTTCCTTTGTCTGGAAGACCTCCTAGTATGTTTTGTGCAGGATTTGTTGGAAACACTGCAGATGAACTTCACATGTTGTCTGCACTCTCCAGATGTTTTTTGTCAATGTGACTTTAATGTAACTGTAAGCCTATTTAGCGTCCTCTCTCCTCCTCCCCATATGAATCTTCATCAGATTTGCTTTATTCTATGAATAAAGTTTGGGAATTATTTGGTATAACATTTGGAAATATTTGCATGTATTGACCAAAATCTATACAGCCATAGCAATAAAGAGGTAAGCCCAAGATCAGACAGGTTAAAGCCCATCTTTTAAAGAAAGCTCTGCAAAGGGATAAAATATAACCCTCATTGTGGGTTGTGTTGGAATGTTTTCATTTTTAGTGGCCTGAGTTTCTTTCTTAGTAACATTTGTTGTTATTTCCCAATCTAGTTAATTATTTTATTAGTCTTTTAGTTCTTTTACCAAAGAAAGAAATATAAGAGTCCTGCTAGACTGGAGTGGTACATAAGAGCTGAAAGCAAATAAATAAATAATTCTACTCTATAGTATAATAATAAGAGAACCAATGCTTTCATTTCAGAAATTATTTTAGTCAATCTATTAATAAATGTAACCAACAGCAAGTGTTCAATCGCGGTTCCACCACAAATGCGCGAATGACAAAAGCACGCCTGACTAAACCGCGGTGACAAAACTGCACCGACAAAACCGCGCCAACGAATGAGCGCTGAAGCGCGCCGACAACAGCGCGCCGACAGAAGCATGCTGTAACCCTAACCCTAAACCTAACCCTAAACCTAACCCTAAACCTAACCCTAAACCTTACCTTAACTGAAATCGTGCTTCTGTCGGCGCGCTGTTGTCGGCGCACTGTTTGACATCGCGGTTTTAGCGCCGCGGTTTTGTTGGCGCGCTTTTGTCGTTCACGCATTTGTCGGGTCACGTTCAATTGCTCCATATATTGATATATTTGTTTCTCCAAAATAATGCTTTAGGGATGTTCCGAAATTAGGAAGTATTTTGCAATATCATATCTTAGGCGTAATGCTTTGTGCAAGGATGAGGCTAAAGTTGCCAAATAAAAAATGCCTCAAAGTTGTGATGTATTCTCAAATTAGGAAACATGCCTATTTTGTTCAATACAGCATGCCTGTATTCACATCAGCAATCCATCCATCCATCCATCCAGCCAGCCAGCCAGCCAGCCAGCCAGCCAGCNAGGCCCAGTCTGTGAGTTTTTATTGGCCGTTGGGAGGTATGTGGCAGGAGGCGGTCTCCAGATATCCTAGGCCATGTAGGGCTAGACTCCTAGAGAATCTACTGCCAGGCCCTGGTTATTCAAGACTTTTTCTAGCATTCACTCAATCTTTAATCAAGACAGTTTTTGGATGGTAGGCAGTATTGCATCTTCCTTATCTGATTCAATGTAACAGGTGGTATTCCTTCAATTTGAAGCATCTTTCGTGTTCTTGAATTTATGCATGGTCAATGCACAAAAATGGAAGCCCAGAACACATCTGGCTGCTGCTTCTTTCAACTGACTCTGCTTTAAAAGAAATATATACGAACTGTTATCTAGGCAAATGGGTTGAAACACTTTTTTTCCCCCAAAAGTCCAGAACAATGAGATAACATTTGGAAGCAGCTCAAGCAGAGGCTAATCCACTGAAATTTAAGACACATAAGGAAGTATAACAGAACCTGTCTGCTATTATAGTCAATTTTAGTTTCTTTTTTTTTTTTTAAAGTAAACTTTAAACTTCCCAGAGAATTGATTTCCTGGTCTGGTCTGCCTAATGGAGCTGACATTATCTGAGTTTAGAGAACAGAACGCTTTGCAAATTGCAATGCAATTGATACAGGTGCTATCATTTTATAAGTGGCAGCAAGTGAAATGGAGGACTAGTCAAACATGTTGTCTTCCATCCGAAGGTCCCAGCAAGAGGTGTTTTATGTAAGGATGCAAATATCTGAAAATACAGGGAATCCTTGATTTACAACAGTTCATTTAGTGAGCATTCAAAGTTACAATGTGCGCCAAAAAAAGTGACTTAGGACCAGGGAACGTGCAGTCAGGGGAGGCAGAGCCTCACCACTGTCACCATGAAAAGAAAAAAAAAATGTAAAAGGAAAAAGGCAAGAGCTGAGGTCAGGCTGAGCTAGTTGCTGCCAGANACAAATATGGGCACGACACACAAAATCTCCATATGAATGCCATTGGTTCTTAAGTTTGAATAAAACTCTCATTTCAATAACATATATGGTAAAGCTGTTTTCATAGAAAGTTCAATGTACTGTGTAGTGGGGAAATGTTTTGGGTAATTTTCCAACCTTCCACAAGTTCTTTTATTGATTAATGTGTTTTTTTTCCCTTCTACCCAGTAAATTCTGAGGTGGAATTGGGAAGCCTGTTGCTAGCCAGAAAATTTGGCACTAAAGCGTCTAGAATTCCCAGCCTACATGCTGACTGGAAATACCTGGAACTTGAGTTGTAATACATCTGGATGTCACCAGCTTCTTGGTCTACTTGACACTGTTCAGTGTCACCGAATCAAACAGTTAACTCCATAGAAGTGTTACAGCTATGCTTGCCTATATTTATCGGTTTCAAATATGTCCTTTTAATCACAGCATTGTTGTTGAGAAAGCTGCTTCATGCATGTAGCTCTCCAGCCTTAAAACAAAATCTCAATATCAAGCACAGAACAAAGATGATAATATATATATTCTCCCCCCCCCCCTTCCACAATTTCTTGGGTATGATCCACATGGAAAATTGTTCTGTTATATTTTCAACCCAGGAAATTCCAATAATGGTTATGATTAAAACACTGTATAATTCTGAAGTTTCCCCCTCCCCCAGATAGAAACATAAAACATTTTCAGTTTTTAAAATATGCATTGTGAAACCTTTCCATATAAATAATACGACCTATGAAGGGCAGCATAAGAACCCTAGAAGAACATTAATGTAAGATATTAATGCAATATTTTAAGCTTGCGGTTTTGAGGATACATGCCATGACCCTCTCAGTTTTCTTCAACTCTTAATCGCATGTAATTCAAATGTAGTTTCTATCGGAGTGGAACATCTGACTTTGTTTTACAAGTAATTCATTAATGAGTCACCTACATGCCTTAGGTGGTTTAAATCCATTATCTCCATTTAAGAGTTTGGCCTCAGGATGCCTTTCAATATAAATAATCTTCCAAGATGCTTGTATAGCAGAACCATGTTTCTTTTTATAGTAAATCTGAAATTAGCTAATTTTATTTGACTTTCTTGAGACAAGCATGAATTATAAAATACTGTACATCCTGGCATGAATTGGACTAATATAGAAGACTTCGATATACTCCCCTGAACATACGTTCCAATCATTTTCCCTACATGACTTTCAACTGGTCAGGTAGAGTTTTAAACTAGACCTTGATGGATGAAGAGTCATTGTAAATTGGATCTCGCATTTCAGAAGTAATTCTTTAACACTCCTGGGACTTTCTCTTGTCATTTGTACACTTCAATGTGTAGATCCTCTGAGAGGATCAGGAAGATTTAGGTTCAGGATTATCTTTGGGGATATCCCCCCCAGTCAGTTCTCTGAAATTTTTGTTAAAGTTCACTGGAGAAACTAAATGTTAACTTTGTTAAAAAGAAATCTGTATTCTAAATATATTGCACCAAATTCATAGCACATTTGCTTCCCAATGTGTGTTCTAGTATGACTAACATGGATGGGGGGGACAACACATTTTGACATGACCCTGACAAGATGGAATGGCTTTGTGTGCATGCAGTCCCAAGATCCAAGACTTTATCATCTTTCGTTCTGGATGTGGTGGCAATATCCCAGATACATCCAGTCTACAACTTGTGGGTTGTCCTGGACTCACAACTCCTGCTCAATGAACAGGTGAAAGTCATAGCTAGTAGATTCTTTGCACAACTTTAGAAGAAATAGGAGAGGATCCAATTATTTTTCAAGGCATTTGGGGGTCAGAAATGTGAGTGGAAAGGAGAGGAACAGTAAGAAAGGATTAGGATATGGGCTGTGGTGGTGCAGGATACTTCTGCTGACTGATGGCCAGATTTGGCAGTTTGAATTTCACAGGCTCAAGTTTGAGCCTTTCATCCTGCTGAGGTTGGTAAAATGAGGATCTAGATCAGGGGCAGTGGTGGTACTCGATCAAGGATGAATCTCAGATTTCAGTGTTATATTATCTAGCGACATCACTAGAGAATTATCAAGACCTTCAAATTTAACTTTAACTTTAACTTTTAATAAATTTATATGCCGCCCAATCCCGTAGGACTCCGGGCGGCTTACAGAAAAAGTTAATATAAGGAGTTAAAATAAAGAAACAANTTAGGGTTAGGGTTAGAGCGCGCTTCTGTCAGTGCACTTTTGTCGGCGCGCTTCAGCGCTTATTCGTCAGTGCGGTTTAGAACTCGCGTTTTTGTCACCGTGGTTTAGTCGGGCGCGGTTTTGTCGGTCGCCCTTTTGTCGGTGAACCCTGAGTGAATATTTAAAAAACAGAAAAAAAGCATTGTTCTATTGTGTAGTTTGGCCCTCAGTCAGCCATCCATATTTGGGGAGACAATATGCTTAGGTCAAACATGTATGAACATGGCAACCTTGTCAAAGAGGAGCAAAGATATTTGAAGATGGGGGAATTATTTTCTCCAAAGGTCGAATGGCAGGGCAAAAAGAAGAGAGCTTTCCTGTAGTACTCAGAATAATAATAATAAAAAAACACATACAACTACACAAAACCTATTTGTCAGGAGACGCAGAACATCTGT